CAGGAGCTGAAGTACCCAAGTGTGGAGATGTCCATAGCCCAGGAGGTAACAGGGAAAGGGAAGAGCTGGAGAGATAAAACCCCTCTAAAATTGTCACTGATTAAGCAGTTCTGTCCTCCTTTTCTGGCCTGTGTAGACAAGGGCTTTGACTCTTCTTGTGTCTCATTGTATAAGACAGGTTAGTGTAGTGTTTGGGGTGGTTTTTTCAGTGCTGGTTTTGCCCCTGAGCAGCTTTGGACTGATGAGTGCACTTCCCTGCTCCGTAGCAGCTTTGCCAACTCAGAGGGAGGCTGTGCAGTTTAATAAATTAACTCTGGGTAAACCAGTTTGAAGTGAGTAGGTGCGGAGTATCAGAAGAGGAGGGGGAAGACTTTTAAAGTAAATAATGCTACAGCGTTTTCTTGTCACCTGGGAGGCGTTTTCCGTAGTGCAGACTTCCCCAGGCAACACTGAAGCTGACTCCTTGATGGTCCAAGTCTGTGGGTCTACTGCACATCTGGGCTTCCCCAGATGTGTTTCCTTCCAGAAACTGTGAGTGGAATCTGAGACACTGCCTGTTTGGCTGGGATTTCCATCAGGGTGGTCAGAAGAACAACCTGCCAAATACCCAGGGAGGCTGGAGGGGTGGCCGCAGAGCATGCACAGAGCCGTTCTTTGGCGTGCACGCAGGCGATACGAGGCACAGGGGACGTGCCAGACCTGCTGAGCACACACTGTGGGAACAACCTAGGCGTGTCCAGGAAATCCAAAGCATTCCTAATGTGACAGGCTGTCTCGTGGGGATGCGGGACAAGCAGCCCTCTCGGGCTCCATACTGCTGCTTTCGGAGAGAGGCTAGTGGTGATGGCAGAGCTGGGCTGGGGGAGGTAGGAAGCTGACTGCAGTCACTGAGCCTGTGCCGAGGTGCTGCAGATCAACACTATGCCCTAAACCAGTTGCAAACATCTTGACTTCTCTATCCAGTGTGATGCTCTAAAGTGATGCTAGATCTTGTCCAGAGAGTAGCCAGGTCCTGTTAGTTGGAGACCAACATACTCTTCTGAGATGAGCACAGAGCGCTTTTGCAGCTGCACAGCCATCCGGAAAGGGGGGTGCACAGGGCTGTTTGCTGGGGGTCACCTGTTTTGGAGGGTTGGAGTTGATGCATTGCAATGTGATCCAGTAATACTGAGCTGCAGGTGATGATTTTTCCCAGGACTGCATGGAATCTGGGCTGGTTTTGGTACCTCCCAACAGTCCTTTGAACTGTCAGGTCAGTGGCTATAAGGATAGGGTTGTGTATGCTGCAGAATTTGGGTAGGGAGGCCTCCTAGTGCAGAGTGACTCCTTAAAATACTGACCTGGTTAAAAAATGAAAAGAATCCAAATTTAATTTGAAAACTGAGTGATAACAACTGTCTATCTTGTTCAGCCTGGAAGCTTTGAAGAGAATGGGATGCTTTGTTTTTAAAAAAATGTAACACGAATAATAAACTTTGTGGTGTTTTTTTTTTGTGAACTAACATCAAATACCTCTTCCTCCTCTGAGGAAGGAGCCGGGGCTGGGGCGGGGGGGAGAGAAAATCCTTGGTCCTAAAGCAGCAAGTACATCACATCAAACATGACTACGTTAAATACTAAAACGTTCAAAGTACAAGCGAGATAGATAAAGGCTTTGATGGGAAGTGGATATTTCCCAGGGACATTACAAGCAATAATCCAGATGTTATGGTGTAATGCAACGAGTGTCCATGGATAGATGGGGAGCTCAAGCCAAGCAGCGCCTGCTGTAGGCCTTAGCCCTCCACTCCCATGCTGTTACGCCATATGGAAGCAATCTCCAGGCCCCTTTAATAGCCAGCTTTGGATTCCATTTTCACAGGGCTCATAGAGCTAAGTGGAGCTGTTTTATGGACAAGTTAGATAGAAGCCTTTCCAAGATAAACATCCAATTCGAAATTAGGACATACCAAGCTGCAAAATTATTTTAGGGCATATTTCATGGAAGCGCTGCCATTTTTCTAAGGCGATTGCCAGACTGTAGAATGCCCTTTGATCCCTTGTGGACATTACTCCCTTTTTTATAAAAAGGATTTTGAAATAGTTCAGTGTTTAGGGAGGAATATATCTGCCGGGACTTTGAAGTATGTCCATGGGAACAGTCATGCTTTAGCTTTTTGGCCTAAAAGACGAACTTTAAAAAAAAAAAAAAGAAAAAAAGAAATTACATTGCAGCTGGATTTATGAATCAAAATCTCGTTTTCTTTTTAAAGGTAGGAATTTTTAATCAGTGTGCCAGGAAAGCCTAAACGGGGTGTTTAAATAGAAGTATATTAATATGCTTGTGGGATTCAAAGAGTTGGGTATTTTAACCAGTAAAAAGTGAGTAAAAGAATTTGTGAGTTCACCACCCATGATTTAAGAATTTTGTTGCTGGGTAATTGATCCATAAAAAGTAATCTTCAGCCATCAGGTGCTTTTGCAATCGTTTTATTTAGCAACAACATTTCTTACTTGCTTTTAAAGCTAACACGTCCTGTTTCAAAGTGACTTGTGAAATCTTCTCCTTCGTCTTGCTCCCACCTGTATGTGACATGATTGAAGCTCTGAAGCGTGGCGAGTTAAAAGTTGCTTCACAAGAATAAAATATGGCAGGATTTTTACTGCGAGAAGAAAAGTATAGCCTTGAGTTTTAATGTTTCCAGCTCACTCCCCCCAAATAAAGGCCTATTTAATCATCCTCTGTCCAATAAAATATCGCCAGTTAGCAAACTGTTAGTGCAGCCGTGCTGTGTAGGATGAAGCTGCGAAGGTAACAAATGTGGCTACCAGGTAACCATAACTCCAGGTAAAAAGCCCCATGGTGTCAGTGTTTTTTCCGCAGGCATCAGTATTTTTGATTCGTGAGCGTGGTTTCTGGAAGCAGGAGCTGCAAAGGCAGCAGGCGAAGAGCTGAGGCGGACGACGTGCGGTTGAGTGATTGAGGAGGTGGAAGATGAGTGCTCAGCCTTTCACCTGGCCATAGACTTTATGAGTGTGGGCTGTCTCCCTGGCAAGGACAGACCTACGTTTTATGGACGTAGCTGAAGATGTTTAAGAGTTTAGTTTCTCCCCTTTTCCACCTCTCCTCCACAGCGCTGTCCTGCGTCTTACCATGAGCCAAGGTGACAGATTGCTCTCAATGCTCAAGATCTGCTCTTGCTGAAGCTCAGCCAGGTTAGCTGAAGTCAACTTCTCTGGTGGTTTAAGCTAACCCTGCTGATTTGGCTCTGATGCTGAACAGGGCCAGCCGTAGTACACTACAGGCAGAAAATCCATGGCATCCTACCACCTTCCATCTTCTGCTGACTCCCGGGGGTCATAGTACCTCTCTGACTTCTGGTGCTTTCATACCACAGACAGTTTGAGCATGAAAATGTAGGTTTGGGTGTATAAAGTTTCGTGTTGCCAACTTGCTTTTCAGTCGAGTTTCATGCGGAGCGTGCGACTCTCCGACTCTTTGCGCGAGAAGCAGTTGTGGAATGGGCTGGTCACCATCACGCTCTTGGAGGGGAAGAACATCTCCGGAGGGGGCTTGGCAGAGATTTTTATTCTTCTCAAACTGGGAGATCAAAGATACAAGAGTAAGGTAAGTATTAAGGGTTTCCTTAAGTTTGCTGAAGCCAATAAGGTACTTGATGTTTCTTTTACCAGTGTTGCTACCTCAGATGGAACTATTCTTGAATCTCTTTTATATAAGTGAGATCAAAACCAGGAGACCAGATCAGGGACATTGACGTTTTACTAATATGTTTTACATGCCAATATAGAAGTAGGAAGTTCGGAATGTTCTGTGTGTCTGGTTTTGTGCATTTTAACATACTCCTCGTATTGATGGATGTTTGACATTAATATGGAATGAAATAAAGCTACGTGCATCGCACATGTGTGGTGTTCTCTGCCAATACAGAAGTTAAGTTTGCAATGTTAGGTACACTGGAAAAGCAGACCTGAAATGGTTCCCAGCACAGCGGAATAATAATAATAATAATTATTTAAAGTACCTTTCTTGAAAAATGTTACTTATAGCAGAAACCACCTCCCTCCCCCCAAAACACACTGAATATTCTGTGATTTTGGTTTGAATTTTTATTCTTCTAAGCTGTGTACTTGTATCCCGTAGCATTTCATGGGAATATAAGAAATGAATGGGGTTCCCAAAGATATACATTTCATCTCCAAAGTCTAATAAGAAGAGAGGCTATAATTAAAATTGTGTTCTGTTGAGAAAGCAAGAGCTCTGCATGTCATGAACTGGAAGCTTAGAGGGAGGAGAAGGAGGAAACAAACCCCCTCCTGTACAGAATGTACGGAGCAAGTTCACAGAACATAATGTTCAGACGTGGGCGCATCTGAAACCTGCACTCTGTCCCCCGCATCAGACCTCAAACCAAGGTCACGATATAATGTTTTTATTTAGAAAAGCAGCTTTGAAAAATAACAAATGGCTTAATTATTTAGAATAAATATATATTATTCCAGTTAAGATCCTTTTTTATGTTTCTCTGTAATGGTCCATAGTCTGTGTCATGAATCTGCAAGACTGCACTGTTTGCAGTCACAGAAAATTAAGAAGTTTAAAATGGGGAGTTAAGTACCATGTTGCCTGCAGTGAGTTAATTACTTAGAATTTCTGTCTGGGCCTAGCAAAAGTTGGGGACCACTGCTTTTACACCCTCATAAGACTTCAGATTGGCAGTGCTTCACGTTCTTTCCTGGAGTTTGTTCAACTTATGAAGTATGATCTTTCATGGTCCAGAAAAGCAGACAAGGCGGGAGAAATCTCAGTCATGGTCCAGCTAATCCTATCTCCTGTTCTCTCAGTGGCCATGCTGATATTGATGGTGGGTAGTGTAGTGTGATACGAAATGCAAGTGATTTAAGTCCCAGTCCAGTGAATACTCAGAGTAACCTGAACATGTGAACAATCTCACCGACCTCAGAGGGACAATTTACAGATATCAAATTAACTGAATGTTAATAATTTCAAGGCTGTTCCTTCTTTGCCTAGATCTTAACACAGAAGGGTAAAAAAATACTGGTTTGGGTTCCTCAATTCATTCAAACCTGTTTCCAGGTGATTGTCCTCAAAAAGTCTATTCTTGATTTCTTCCAGTGTGTGATGTTGAATGATGACCACAGTACACTGAAAGTGGACCTGGCATTTCAGAATTTCTCCAGCCATTCATTCATGTCACAGTTGTGTATTTATTGCTATTGGGAGAGAGGAAAGAGTTTTTAAGGAAGATGAGGCTGCGCGTGATGGGCTGGGGAGCTTTGATTGGAATGATTTTAGTACTTGATGCCCTAACATCCAGCCTTGTTCTTGTAGAGGAATTGATATGTGCTTTACTGTGGAAATAAGTACCATTTAAGAAAAGTAAATATTATAACTGCATGTTTTCTAGACACTGTGTAAGAGTGCAAATCCTCAGTGGAGGGAACAGTTTGATTTTCACTACTTCTCTGACAGGAAGGATATGTTGGACATTGAGGTCTGGAGAAAGGATAACAAAAAGCACGAGGAGCTTTTGGGAATGTAAGTGGCTTTGGTTTTGTGTTTGTGTGCAGTTTGGTTTTTTTTGAAGGGATGGGGTAAGAAGAAAAGATAACGTGATTTTAATTATTATTTTTTAAGTTGATAAATTTATGTTTATTACCAACATCATACTGTATGTTTCTCGCCTTATTCCAGTCACGTCCAGATGACTCTAAGGGTATGTTTATTAAAATCTATTAATTGATTAACCATGACCTGAACGCAGAAACACGCAAACTGACTCCACACATGCTGATCATAAAATCCAAAATACTCTGAGAGTTCAGTGGCAACCGTTTCTGGGAGAGCTGGAGGCAGCAAGGAGACAGTGCTTGACTGCGCGTGCACAGTGATATTGCTCCAGACCTGTTGTGCTCTGCAGGGTTGATTTGCGGCTTCAGACTGGTCTCAGTTTAGGGATCTTTGTGCTCCTTTTGAGTAGCACTGGTGTGCCCTTTCTCTGTTTGCACCTTGGTGGTGTGTTCTTGTAGCCTTGTTTACATATGGATCCCGTTATCTAGGTTTGCTTTCTTTGGGTAATCCTTTCCCCATTGCTGCAGAGGACTGATCTTGTGAGCTCATGTTTAAATCATCATTTTCTAGGGCAGCCTCATGGGTCACCTGCCCATCTCCTGATAGCGGATTTTGTCCCATTGCATTATTCCATTGGAGCTTCAAATTCTCAATTAGTGATCTTATGCCACGTTAGCAGATGAGACTTCTTTTGGGTTAGCAGTTGAATCTTTTATTTTAATTTCTTAATGGGAATAGAATATGGTTCCTTCCCTTCTACTCTAACTCCATTTTATTTTGTATAGTATTAGTACGGTCTTGGTTTCCTAGTAGTAACCATCTCTTCCCTCCTATTGCCTCCTCCTTTCTTTTGGCTTGCAGCATTTTCATCCAGGCCCATCTCCCCAAACTGCATCTACACAGTTGGCTACATGCAGCAGCACCAAGAGCCATTTAATTTTCTGGAGCCCCTCTTGGGTCTGTCCGTGCTTATCTGCTTGCAGGATCGATGCCACAACCTGTAAATTCTTAGGGGCAGGGATCCTGTCTGCAATTGTTTGCTCTTCTCACCTGGTGAGCGTTTCACAACTTGCTGACTAAATAACAGTAACTCATAAGAACATTCTCTTACTTTTAAGCATTCAAATAGTTTGAAACTATTCACTGAGAACAACAATGCCCTTTGGCTCTACAAATGTTTGTGGTTTTGCAGAGCAGGAAATGCTTTCTGGCTGAATGCTGTTGTCACATGGAGAAGTGGCTGAAGATGAATCTGTTCCTTCCATTCTCACAGTTACTTTTATTACTTCTGATATTCTGTTTAGAGTTAAGAAACGTAGCAGTGTTTGTGGCTTGCCTCTCTTCAGTCATCCTGATGCTGGAGCAATTCTTCCTTTAGTTTTTTTCCTCTCCTTTTTTTTTTCTACTGGTTTCTTGCAGGTAGTGTTTAGTGTGGCAAAAAATTATCAGCAGAACACTTATTAAAGCAATTATTAAAGATTTTGGCACTGGGAAAGCCTCTGTGTGTTAGATTTACCCTAAAGTTACTTTTCCTGTCTATGTGGACTATGTGGAGAGATATTACTGTTGTTGCCTTAAGCACAGCAAATTCACTGCAGCATCAAACAGGAAAAAAATTACACTAGCTTTTAAGATTGCAAGAATAGGTAAACATGAAATGTATAATAAGCCTTGTTTGTACAGTGTAGAAACTTTTGACACCCAATAAATAATATTTTACGAAGGGCTCAAGTGCAGTCTAATCTGGAAAAGGATTCTGTAGGCAAAACAACATTATGAAGTGCCATGTTTATTGTCTCCATGGCTTCCAAGTTGAGTTTTGAGATTTTTGGATTTCACAACATCACTATAAAAGATACTTTAGTAAAATGTTTGTGGCTTATATTCAGTCATTACCTACAGAAGTAGAACCTAACTACCCTCAAATAATTTGCATGGCTTTAAGGAAATAGCAGAATTTGCTGGATCTTAATTAATAATTCTGTGGTCAATTTGTGGATGCAGTTAGGATTCAGTATGCCTCCCTCAAGGCTGTGTAGGTTGAACTTTTAGACATTTAAAAAAAAATACCTATTTAAATGTTAAAATGAAGTTGGGAGATGCACAAGGTGGAGTCATGTCTTACAATCCAGACTGCTGAACTTTTGTGGAATAAAGACTTCTGTTAATTCCTTTAAACCCAAGATTTCTTATAGGATAGATGCCTTAAGCCCCTGGAACATGGCTCTTCTCCCAGGCATAATTTGGTTTCAAGATAAAATATTGTTCTTGAAATAGGACCTGAAGTGTCTGTGGAGACTGTGGAACATGTAGAATAAGAAATGTGTTGGACCTCCAGTACTAACCGCTGACACCTGGAGCCTTTGTCTGCTTCTGAATTAGTGAGGAAACATTTGGTGTGATTTCATGTCACCCTTCTGTTGCGAAACGAACCCTCACTGTCAGTGCACATCACAAGCTGAGTTATTACCTTCAGCCTACCTATGTTCTCCTTGGATTTTTAACTGTATCCAGTTTCCATTCCTCGCTTAAAATACTGCAGCATGGAGTGGTTCAGCTGCCGGGTCCGACACTGAGGGGTGGCTGTGTTTTGGTGCTGGATGAAGTAATCCCTCTATTTAGTCTGCACAGAACTGTTAGTAATGTTTATTGAGTGCTTTTTGTGTCCTTTGGGATAACAGGCATGCTATAAACAGGAGATGATGTTAATGTATATTAATAAACAAAGGTGTTAATGTGTGCAGGATTTGTCCGGGCAGAGTTAAATTGTTTATGCCAAGTTGTTAAAGAGTGTTTCTGCGTTAAGGGATATGTTTTGAAAAAGAGATGCTGCAAGAAGTTGGGATTTTTTTCTTCACGTGTTTACCTCAAAAAAGGGATTTTTACAAAAACTGCTAGACTTAAGACCATGAGCTATGAGATTGGAGTGCATCCAATATCTTTGATGAATGCCTCCAAGAAACAGTGTCTTTGCAACAAGAAACAATCCTTATTTTAAAGGCTGTGCTATTGGGATGGAGCAGGAAAATCTACTATGGCTGCGTCCAAACCTTTCATTTAAATTTCACCAAGCTATAGGAAGAATCAGACAACCAAAATTTATCTGTACAATAAGTCAGAATAAGACCCTTATTAATTGACACCTCTGGCATTTGAAATTCCTTTCCAAATATTAATCATAGATGCACCTTACTGTATTTTGCAATGACTCTGACCTCTTTTGTGAAGGACTTTCAAGAATTCTACAGGGGGAAAAAATGGCAATGTTGTGTACAGATTTTTTTCAGATTTATTTAAATGTTTAAGGACACTTGCCATAATTTGATGAACTGTGGACTGAGTAATAAAATACAACTCCATGATTACTAGTAAGAGGTTAAGCTTATCAGCACCTTTTAGTGAAATCTTAACATTTGATTCTCTGAAAGAGTTAAACATACAGTTTAACCACAGATTTACAGTGTAGTGTTCTCAAGTAATATTTCTCTGCAAAATAAATAAAAAAGGGGGAAAAAAAAGTTCAGCAGCTGAAGATGAGGGCTGTAAAATAGTCTTAAATGAAAGCGACAGCTGTAGTGTAATCCTCTACAAGACTAGAGGTTAATATAGAGGTGTAGACCTCAATACTGATCAGGAGGAGGAAAGAAAGCATTTAATTAATTGTGTTTTTTTAAAAAAAGTGATACGGTTGTGTGCACAACGTGCTTTTAACTTACAGAACTGTATCCCCTATAGATCATGCCTGTAGCCGTGTATGTGAAAGTTTATAGCTGAATTTAATAGGTAATGTAGCAAAAGATGACAACAAGCAGAGCTGTCTTATTCTGGGATAGGATTGCTATGTTGAGAATTTAACTCAGGAGATCATTTGCATCACCTAAAGTACAAATAATCTGAGAGTTTTGCTCTTTGCCTTTAGATCAGGCAACTTTTGAGCAAAAAGAGGATTGCCTCTGTTAGTTTTACGCTGTGCCCATCACTGTAGTTTTGTACCACTTTGCTGTGAAATAATTATCTGTAATAAGGTCTTGCAGATAGAAACCTGAGAAAGAAGGAGGGGAAGAGTTCCTATGTCAGAAGGACGGGGGAAGTAGTAAGGAAATCATTAGACTTGTTTTAATAATGTAGAGGTGTTTGTGTGGAAACTGTTGAATTTATAGAGTAAATTGGATATCTAATTGTTTTATCAAGCTGCATGCTTTGCAGTCTGATCAATTCTGTCGTATAACCTAAATGAAACTGATTGTCTTTTTTTCCTAAGCCTTTTGTTGTTTGCAAGTGCAAATGTGGATTTTCTTTGCAGTTCCTCAAAAGAAAATAGAGGCATACCATCACCTTGAGTGAACACAGATGTTTTAAAGAAGTTAGTTTGCACGGAAATCAGACATGATTTGAGGAAGAAATGCTTCTACTCCACCTCCTGCTGTTTTCCCCTCCACATGTGCATCCCTCCTACCCCCACACCCTTATACTCGGTCTTTTCTTTGACCTTTGGCTAATGAAATTCTTTTAATAAGAGAAACGATTCCAATTTGCCAAAACAGGCTAGAATTACATTTAACTTTGCCTTTGAGATATGAGAGATTTCTGAGGTTATCTATTGGTGGGAGATGTGCTGTTGTCTGAATGAGTTGTCTTTTCTCTCTTAACTCCACGGAAAGTTGACATTAAAAAGCAAATACCGCTTTTCCCAGTTGTGGACTGTGTTGAGTGGGTGGTGTATGAAATGCTGATGTGGGAGACATGGCCTCTATTGCCAGCTGAACCACAGACCAGCTGGGTGACCCTGAGTTTTCCCTTCTCCTTGCTTCAGTGTCTTCATCTGTAAGAGAAAAAAATAAAACCCAAGATAAGGATACATTCCCCCTTTTGCACTGATACCTAAAGTATCAAGAAAACTGCTGCGGTCTGAGAAGCAACTGTGTTAATGCAGCCAGGGTGATGTTGACCTCCAGTGTGGAAGTGATAAGGTCTTTTTCTCAAATGCTTGCCCTTTTTTTTGTTGTTTGTTGTTTTTTTTTTTTTTTCTGCTGTATCTTCTCTTGTCATATCTTTCTGAAGAGTCTAGGCATAGCAATGAGCTTTAAATGTGACCTCTCACACTTTGAAATTGTGTTGAGAGGCAGCCTACACGCTGAACAGTGTTGGTACTCATCCTAGTTTATTTTCTTTCTCTTTCAAAGCACTTGAAAGCAGTTAATAAGAGTAAACTTGCAACCTGTTGTATGTTCAGTGTGGTGAATAGCAAAAAGCACGCTCGAGGCAGTCATCCTCACTGATTCTCGTCAGAAGAAGCTTATACAAAGAACTGTGTTTTAATACATGGAGCCACTGGATGATTTACAAACTCATCACAGCAATGACTTTTACTTCATAACGTAGTTTGTTGGGTTTTCAGGCTGAAATGTTTTGGAATTTTTTTTTTTTTCCTCGCCCCTCTTAGCATTCGCAGAAAATAGGCTGTTAAGAAGCGGAAAGCATGCAATTTATAGCAGATGGGTATAAACTGCTCCAGCTCTACTGCTGGAATGGGATCAATCAGGAACACTACATGCACCATTTACCCAGAAGAAACCCACCTGGGGGAACCCTGTGGAATTTTAGCCTATTAAGGCAACACCTTAACAAGTTTAGTTTAAATAAAAACTTGTCGGCAGGCATTAAGCGGAGCGAAAGCTCTCGCTCTCCATCATCCGCTCGCCGTCCCTTTTGAGAAATGTGCCTCCCCTTGCACTGTGGCAACAAAGCTTCTCCTCGCTTAATTTTTTTTTTTTTCCCCCCTCTTTTTTCATCTGTAACTTTTGTTCAGCCTGTTCTTGAAAGCCAAGCCCCACGGAGGTGCAAAAAAGTTCCACTCCATTTACTGGTCTTCTAAATAGAAGGCATTTAGCCGAGCCGAGTGATTAGGGTTTCTGTTGGATTTAACCGCTCCCTTCACGTGTAACTGGCTGTCTAGTGATCTCTCTCTGCTTTAGCCCATACTCATCTTTTATTATTGCCTCTTTATGGATGTTTCTCTTTTTTTGCTGTTTATTTTTATTTTTGGAGGAAGTATCGGGTTAATGATACATATTATGTGCAGGGGGTGGGGGGAGAGTTTTTAAGACAATCCTTCCCTTTGGGAAATATAACAGCACACTGAAAATGTCGCTCTAGTAAGGCTTGTAAAAGAGATTGGGGCATACAGTATAATGTAGCATAAAATCGAGTATGTGACTTTAAAGAAACTAATCTATTTTAGGCTAATGTTTTAAATTTTGCGTTCGCCCCTTTTCTTTTCCCCCAGGTGAAATAAAATTGTGTTTCAAATCCATCGCAGAGCACTAAGGGATTTTAGAGGGGAAGTGAGGCAGGCCAGAGTTAAGTTTTCCTACTGTACTTGCAGCCCAAACCCGTTCCCTCTGCTTACCCATAGGTGAACCAGAAAGCAACACTGACAGCAAACGCAATAGAAACTGGCTAATTGGTTTCCCATGTTTAATTTTGAGATGCTTTTTCTTGCGTTCTTTCCGTCCTGAACAAGCAATAAGTTTTGGTGCCTGCTTGCTACTGAAATCAATATAAATTATGCTTTTTGTTTTTTTCCAGCTCCTTTTTCTTATTAACCCGTGGCCATGTCATTCTAGGTGCCAAGTTGACGTTACTGCCTTACCGACGAAGCAGACCCATTGCTTAGAGCTGCCTCTGGAAAAACACCCGGGGTCCCTGCTAATGTTGATTGCTGTTGCCCCATGTACAGGAGTGTCTATCTCTGATCTGTGTGTCTGCCCTTTGGGAGACCCCAGTGAAAGGCAACGGATTTCACAGCGCTATGTGAGTTTGCATTTTTTTTTTTCTCCTTTAGTTATGGAAGTAGTCAAAATTACAGTGGGGGGAAAAAAAAGGGAAAAAATTTGTCCAGGCATAATAACATGTCTCTTACCAGAGAAAACTATTTTGCAGAAGAGTTATTATGTTTAGAATGACAAGGAGATTGACGGGGCAGATAGACCTAAGCAATTTGGCTGCTTGTATTTGTTGAGTTTTAAACTAATATTTTTCTTTGCAAACTTAAATTGTATTAAGAGATTATCATGGGGAATGAGACACGCTGATGAATATCATGGAGAGATCATAGTATACTTAGCTTGCTTTCTTTTGGGAAGGATGTGTTTTGGACTTTCGACTGTTGGAAGATGTTCCAACAGCCATATGACGGCTTCCACGCCTCAATCCTCAAAAGCTGGGCAAGAAGGGATAAATGTGGATCTCTCTAAAACAGGATGTGAGACAGAGACATGAGGATTCTGAACAACAAAAGTCAAATTTACTTTTGTGGACAGATTCTTCACTCGCAGTTGAGTGTGCTGAATCTTGACCCATGGTGCTTCTCCAGGTCTACTTATGTCCCATTTTTGGTTTATCTGGCAGATACTTGCATAGACACGCAGGGCTCCTTTCAGTCTCCACCATAAACTTAACGTGTAACTTAAGTGAATGGAGGATTTCCTTAGGAGCAGGTAGCTTGAGACGTTGTGAACCTCAGGGTCATGACACAGCGAGACTGGGATAGTGG